AGTTTATTTGTTTGTTTGAACTACTGATTAGAATGGAAAAATTATTTTTGTATCGGTGAGCGTATTTATTGAGGAATGGTATAAACTATCAAACATCGATGTGACTAGTAGTAGCGAAAAGGAGACATAAATGGGAAATTATTCAACTTTAAGGGCTTCCAATGCTTGCGCTGCGAAAAACGAACCAAAAAACCACATTTATTCTTCTTTAAATGATCTAACGATAGTATATATGTCTATCTTGTAAGTAAACCTTGCAAGAGTAATGGGACGCGACGGACGCAGACATCGTGGGTAACAGGTTAAATTTATAAAGATGAAATAACTAAATAACTATTTTATGTGGACGAAGTGTGTGGACTAGCTGTGTCAGCGAGCCTATTGAATAGGCTGAAACTCTGACTTCTTGACTTTCTGTGCCACAAGTGAACATTAAAAACCGAACTTTTTCTAGAGCACTTCGTGAAACATATACAAATGTACATTGCTGATTACCTCACCCCTTCTGGGAGCAAACAAAGAACGCATTGTTCGAATCCGTGGCTTACTGTACTACACTTGTAATGCAAATGTTCCCACAGCAACCATTGCGCAACCTTTTCATAACCAAGCCTACGCCTATACACAAAATTGTTCGTCTTGCCGCCGAACGAAAATTGATGCGAACGACAACGCGACTAATCGCGCGATTTTGCGACTAAATCCGTATAATTTTTCGCTAGCCAGCCGCCGGCTTGATAACTCACACTCATTCACATTATTACATATTTTGCACTAAGAACAAATAAAATAAAACATTCTTAACGATTACACGATATATAAGTTATATGACGTTTTTAGCGTTAAACATATCTCGTTTGAAACCGTTAAAAGTGTTTAAATTAAATCTACATATTTTTAGTAAGTTGACGCGTCAGGGTTTAACCTAGCGCGATTTCTTCGCATCGGCGGGTGTTTTTGGAAAGAAAAATACAACAACAAATGGTACTATAGTTTATTGGAAAATTGGAGAGATTTTAAACGAAGCCTTATTTATTATATAAATATAAAATTCATATTTATTCCATAATAAGATAATACAACGAGTCACAGTGTATCGTAAGCTCGAAGAAGTGATTTTAGGCATTTTTATGATAAAGAGGACAAACAAGCATGAAGATCACTTGATGGTAAGTGAAATACCCAACCACATAACATCTAAACGAGATGCGCTATCGACCTATTATGCCTCATAAACCAACTTAAATAAACTTCACGACTTTTTCATCTGTGTTCATCTGGTTTGTGACCCGGACGGAATTTCAATAGGCCCACCACCCATATAATACGCGAAGTCTAACATGTTATAGAACAATTATAGTAAATTGATTAGAAACGTGTTGGATCGAACCCGCGGCCCGTTGATTATTAGTTACAAGTTGTTACTATTACACCGAAAATCATTAAAATGTTTACGATAAATGTTTTAATAATAACACAATAAAGCTTATCAATAATAATCTATAGAGTATTAATAACTTATTTTGTTTTCGTCAAACCAGTTAAAGGGAGATGCGCTACACGAATACTACGCTTTATTTTTGTAAACAGAAATTCCGGTGTAGGTGACTTCGTCGAAATCTTCGTTGATAAACAAAATATTTTGATAAAATCTACGTAATAGAAACAGGTTAGGTGTATTGAAAACTTCAATAAATAAAGGCAATTCGTGATTGTAAATTATCAATTAACAAATAAATTGGGTCGACAAATAAGTTCAAAATAATAATAAGCATTTTACTTAAATCTGACATTAAATAAGTCATTCCAAAGATAAAGAGTAACAACTAGAAATCTCTCAGGCTGTATTTGAATTGATTTGAAAAACTAAATCTAGCATATCCCACCCAATCCCACGATGGGTTTCGGACAATTGACTGAATTCACAAATACAAAACCATCCAAAACGTCGGGCCGTAATTTGTCAATATGTTTAACTATATATTTCGCGTTTTAAACTGTTAAAGGTGTTTTAATTAAATGTGTACTACTCGCATATCATATTGTCACCTTCTTTAGTTTTTACCATGTATAAAAGCCAACAATTTTGTACACTGGCTCCTTAAAATATGGATTTATAATGTTTTAGTAATTCTTTGGCGATATCTTCAAATAGGGTACCGTATTTACAGTTGATGTAAATAATCGTTTAAAACTACCGCTTTGCCTACATTCGCTATGTGGGTAGCGTAATTTTTCTGTCAAAAAATAAGAGTTCAAACCCACTGGCGCGCTAAATTACAGTTATATGTATAGTTTTTACATAATAGCGATGTTGACGTTTATTCAACTTTACGTAACATCGAAACAAGAATTACAACTAGGTACCTACTTAATGATGAGTATTATATTATATCTTAATGTTTATTCCATTAAAAACTTAATCACCTTGTGATCTTATAATTTGTCAATCTTCGATTACATTAACATACTGTTATGTTGTTTCATTTTGACAATTGACTTGGTATTCTTTAACTTTCTGAATCTTTCCTGCCCTTATTTACATCCCAACGTCCCCAGGGAGTTATATATGATTGTTTTTTTTTAATAATGTATTATGGCCTGGCAACGGGGCCTTTAAGCCAAGTCTCTTTTTCACTTAATTTCTTTTCTTATATAAATGGTATAGTGTTTGTAAATCTATATGATTATTATGTGTCTAAAGAGAATACTCATAACAATTTAAATTATAAAAGTGTCGGTATTCAGAGGTTATATATGGCAGTTGATTAGTTTAGTATAATTCTTTCACTCTCTTACCTGGTACAAATCCTTTGACCCTGTCGCTCTCCTCCTTGCCACCTTCAGAGCTGATATCATCCAATCCGCCTTCCTCACTCACCCCTTCGACGGTTAACAAGAACGCACATACACACAGCAATATCAATCTTAAGAACTCACGCATTTTAGCGATATCGGCAACTATTCGATAGCGTCATTAAGTGCCATTTTTCTATGGCAAACACAGTCACATTTTCGTTTACAATGCACACACACGATTTAAGCGAACATCGTTTTCTAGTGCCACGAATAATCGGATTGGTAACAAAAGAAACGCGCGTGTTGAGTCGCTGCAGCGATGGTACTAAGTGGTGATTGGTCGACGCAGACCCCACCGTGCGCGCGCGCAAGCCTCCGTTCATCGAAGTTTCTAATATCCCAGATAAGCTATCTGCACCTGCGGTCATTGTAATTGAACAGATATTATACCGTTCAAAATACGATTGTTCTTTAGATCTTAAATATGGTATCAGTGTCGATGCCAGTTCACTAAACAACACGATTGTATGCATTGTTAAGTACTATGATCGGAATTCAGTAGTTTAATAGTATCATCACGAAATTCAATAATAAAGAAAGATATTATTATTCCTTCGTTAAATGTCTACTGAATTATTATACAAATTCTACGTCTTATTATCAAAACAATAATGATTTAATATAATTTAAAAACTTTGACGTTGTAAAAGGATTAATTGTAAACCTATCTTTTATAACACAAAATTAACATTAAATAAGCTTGTAATTCGGCGACAGAATTTTTATTTTTTAAAGGACTTTTGTAACAAAAAAAAATCTCGAACTGTAGGTTTTTTTTGTTACAAAAGTCCTTCTACTTAAGTGGAATGGCAACCTGACAATTGTGCTCTGAAAATTGTAGTAGACACGCTATTCCTTAATAAATCGTGTAAGGCTTTCACGGCAATTGTTAAACATATCCCCTAATGTAAGAAGAGATTAAGGATATAGGAGATATTCAGTTATTCTCCTATCCTTTGCGATCCTAACTATATTAATATTACGATGCTGAAGAGTTTGTTTGTGTGCTTTAACGCGCTAATTAAAATACTAGAGCGGAAAATACTGGTTCGAATTTAATCCTGTGTGGGGTAGATTTATGGAACAAGGTGTTAAGCTGTATAAAATTAGGCTGCGAGCAAAACGAGCGAAGGAACTGTGGGAAGTTTAGAAAAAACGGAGACAATTATCTTTGAGGGCTTCCTTATCTTTGATTACTCTTTAAATGATCTAAGAAATGTGCGTGGCAATATATCTCTTAAGATTAACAAAGTCAACTGGACCCGGACGACGTCGTGGGTAACAGCTAGTACATTTATAAGTGTCGCATGCATTTGAAATTGCTTCAATCATATCCCTTACAAATCATTATCGTTGTAAAAAGCAGTTAAGTTGAAATGTCGTTATTAATATAATGTCTTCATTATTATTTAAGAGGGGAAAATAAGCTAGTCAAAGTGTTCGTACCACCCTAATTTCGCGGTTTCAACACCGACACTTAAATTATAGGTTAGCCATCCCGTACAACATAATTTCAAATAAAGGGATGTGCGGATATGTCGATAAAACTTTTAAAGCTCTTAATTTCTATTAATTTATTTGCAATTTTAAAAGATATGTCCCAGGCATCAAGAGTCCATTGTCTAGAATTCAGAGGACTGTCCCTAATAATTATTATTCTAATAGAGCTTTGTAAGCTTCATTTAACTTAAAATAGTACTTAAAACATTTTATCTAATTTGTTGTTACTCTAGACTGGGTGCGTAATTGAAAGTTAAATTTAAAGATATTTTTTACAGGCTTACATTGCATTACACTTAAGAATAAAAAAAAATTTTATTAAGAATATGTAGTAATGATGCTGTTTACAAAATTGTGAGTACAAATTTTGGAAAATCTTTTCAATACTAACCGCACCTTTACCAAACCCGTACTTAACTTCAATACGATCAGTAAAATATTAAAAAACGACGTTATTTCAAAGCAAACAAAAACCTTTTTCGTTGTTCTCATATAAAATTTATGAAATGAAACACTAGACATTTCAATGTGTGTAAAATAAAAACTCAGGTTTATTTTACAAGAGGGTAAAGTCCGGCGGGGAGGTATATAAATAGCAGTAAAAAGATTTTTAGAATCATTTCCTTTTGATAGTCGATACGATGCTGAAAACATTTATTCTGAGTTTGGAAGATCCCGAAAAACCACTTTTCGGACCTAACTTTTGGCTCCTTAAGAAAGGCGGGTTTATTCTACCCCAAAATACTAAAGCGAAAATAGCTTACATCATTCTTCATGAGCTGGTTACATTATTTGTGATCACCCAGTACATAGAACTAATAGTTATAAGGTCAGACTTCAATCTCGTGCTAACAAATCTAAAGATTTCAATGCTAAGTATAGTCTGCATTGTTAAATCTAACGCATTTTTACTGTCCCAAGAGAAATGGAAGGAGGTAATCAACTATGTAACAGATGCTGACATATGGGAGAGAAACACGAGGGATGCTATCAAGGGCAGAATCATTAATAAGTACACGAGTCACTGTCGGAAACTCCTAAACTTTTATTGGACCCTGGTCTTGATAACTGAAGTAACTGTGTGTGGATCCCCGTTAATCAAATACGCGTCTTCTGCGTCTTATAGAGAAGAATTACGCAACGGGACAGAACTGTTTCCCCATATATTCAGTTCGTGGATGCCGTTCGATAAATATCACTCTCCTGGTTCCTGGATCACGGTGGTCTGTCATATCTTCTTCTGTACCCTTGGAGCTCTGATAATGGCATGTTTCGACACTTGTATCCTAGTGATTCTAAACTTCTTCGGAGGGAAACTCGATTTGCTGAAGGAGAGGTGTAAACAAATTTTTGATGACGGTGTTACTGACGACGATATTCTTAATCGAATAAAGAAAATACAAGAAGATCACGTTTTATTGATGAAGTAAGTAAGATTTTTTAAAATCCCAGTGAAATAATACGGTTTGTAAGTTTTGTGATAAATATACGTCCTTATTATTGAGTATATGCCGTTCTCGTGAACTTTGGTGCAGTTTTATTATACGTAGGCATTAAAATGTTAAATTCATAAAAAAAAAGTATTGAGAAAAATTAAAGGTAGTTTTCTTAAACTCACCTTATAAGACACGACTTAATGTATTGTTTTCAAAATGCAATATGTTCATTATTAAGAAGTTTAACTTATCTTACAGTCGCATTTACTCACCAAATTAAATTATATATGTAATTATAAAACAAGCATATTACAAAAAAATCAATAATAAAATAATTTATCCAAATACATATTAAACTAACTTTGTCAGCGACTTCGATCGCGATAATCGTTATTAAACGATAACTGTTTTTGCAGCGTTCGCCTCGGAAATCCTTACTGATGAATAATTTTTCCAATTTTTTTTTACATTTGTCTCTTTCTCTTTGCTTGTATTAGTCACAGGGCTATGTTTTATATCTTATAGCCTTACTCAATATATGCTCTAACTAACACAAATATAATTTTCCATTCGAACCCGTAGATCCTGAGATTAACGCGTTCAAACAAACAAACAGACTCTTCAGCTTCATATATTAAGTATAGATTAGATTGGATTATCTAACACGTGCTTGTAAGAAAAAAAAAACAATTAATTTCTAATACACTACATTAGGAAAATTAATAGGCTTACTTATTATTAATTAAAGGCTCACAGCATAGGATTTACCTTTTCATAATAAGTTGAATTCTATTGTAGTTTTCTGTACAACCTCAATATTATGTGTCTCGCAAACATCAATTTAGCTGCCCATATGAAATATATACGAGTCAAGTTGTGCTATAATAGTGAAATCTCGTTGCCCCCTTTGGGGCAAGGGGTGAACAAAATTCTGTGGCTGTTTCACCAATCTATTTATTGCCTTTAGTTGTATAGATTTTAATAATTACCTAGGACATTATTTTACATAATATTTTATAAATAACTAGCTGAGCCAATGACTTCGTCCGCGTTTTTGTCAACCAACGTCATCGGTAGCGTCCCGTCGCTCGTAACCCGGCGTTCTTGCGAGATCTTCTTAAGAGATAGACATTTACTGTCGCGGACATTTTTTTGATAATCTAAAGAAGAATCATTCTCTCAAATATATTTTTTTTTGTGTCCCTTTTCGCAGTGTACACAAGAATACATCTTCCTCGATAAATCCTCTAACCAACAAAAATAATAGAACTACTGGTTCGAAAATTTGAGCCAGTATTTCCTGAGATAAGCGCTTCCAAACATGCAAACAAACACTTCAGCTTCATATATTAGTATAGATATAGATATCGCAAATACCTATATTTAAAAAAATTGTGTTTAATTCCAGACCAAGCTTAAACGCTGGTCTGATCACAAATATAACAATGAAATATTAATTAAACACATAAATCTATGTTTTTATTACGAACGAAAGTGACGTATTGCGTTAAATTTAAAGTTAAATAGTTGATTAGCTAGTAATATTAATAATCGATTATTCGTACAAACATTTTATAATACCGTAGATATAAATATCATACAACGCGTATCAAAAACATCGATAACGTTAAAAAGGTGGCACGCACTAGTAAATTTACTTTTAACGTATTACATTATTGTCCAAAATAAAATAGTAATTTCGTGAATCTATTGATTGAAAATTATGATTATCCAATTTTGTAAGTCTTATAGTTTTACAAAGTTTGATGATCAAAGGTAACATTTTGGAAACAAACAAAAACTTATTAGGACAAGATTATTTCAAGTACTTACGCTTTATTAAATCGTTGTTTTTTGCATTAAATATCTGTGTAAAAAAAAACAAAATATATTTTTTGTTCATTTTTCGCGCGTAAAATACTTAAAGACGCTAGAAAAAGTAAACATAATATAAACCGTAATTTTTTATATGTATAAATTTGTATTTTAAATGTACTTAGTGAAATTTTATATAAGTATTTACTGATTTTTACAGATATTCTAGAATGTTCGACTCCCTCTTGTCTCCTGTGATGTTCTTCTACGTAGTTATTTGTTCTCTGATGCTGTGTGTAAGCGCATTCGAATTAACGGTAAGGCAATTCGAATATTTAATTATTTACTTATAAATAAAAACACGATTTAAAACGCGATTTATAATTCTTAGACTTATTTGAAAATTATTTTAACGGCCCGACATTTCAGATGCTTTTCAGCAGCCGTGGGCACGGGGAGGCTGTACGCCCTGCTCCCCGTATTACAGTTGTCACAAGTTAAAGTGTTTTATTTAAATGTGTACTACTTGCGTAAACTATAGACAGTATTTTATGTACTATTCGTTCGTTGAGGGCATTTTTTTATTGTAAATTAAAATAAATACGCATAGAAATACTCACTCCAATCTCTCGTTGTATGTCCGAAATTCGGTTAGAATCGTTAACTAATCTTATTCCTTGCAGTCGGCACAAAACACAACACAACTCCTGCTTACCGCAGAATATCTTATATTTGGCGTGGCGCAGCTTTTCATGTTTTGTTGGCATAGTAATGATGTACTCATCAAAGTAAGTATTTAACATTGAATAGATTTAAGTAATACCTACAGTAAAAGCTCTTATATGTTCCATAAATACAATACGTTCATGGTTTCCCCGTGACCACGGCTGCTGCAAAGCATTCGAAACGTCGGGCCGAAGTTAAAAATCATTTTCAAATAAGTTTAACTAATATATCGTGTTTTAAACCGTTAAAGAGTTTTATTTAAATGTGTACCACTCGCGTAAACTATAGACAGTATTAAATTTAATTGCAGTTTTGAATTAAAAATCTTAAGGCTTAGGTGATAGTTAAAAGAATTTTCTTCTTAGTTTTTTTCAAGCTCCAATTCAGAGCGATACGCAGCAGTCGAATTAGTTATTTGTAAAGATAACACTTCGTTCCATAGACTAGACTAGTAAAAATTCTATTTACTTTTTTTATTAATCCATCTGACGGTATTTACAAAAACACAATATGTGTTAGATACCTATTGAAATACTTTTATTAGTATGTACTTATTAGATCCGCGAATATAGAAATTGGGTCGCATTTTTTAAATCCCCGAATAACGAGCATAATAAGGATCATGAGAATAAGGAGTACTGTACTGTCAACATAGCCCCCGTAACGCTATGGTTGAACACGTTGCCCAGAGTTGAGCACGAGATTTGATTTACGGGAAACGATAAATTGTTTTCATCAGCCGGGGCATAGAAGTCTGACCGACGACTTGCCTATGAATGAGATTTATCAGTTAAACGGACATAGAAATAAGTTCGCTCCAAGAGGGGAAAAGAGGAATTCATTTGTCTTCTAATAAATGGCATATTTTTTTAATATTTTTCATATGTTATTGCACATAATGGCACTATTATTTTTTTTTATTTACAATTGATTAAGTTAGAGCGACAGCACGTAATGCTGCGGATGCCGGTTCAAGTCCTGCCCAGGTCGTATTTTTTTTTTAATTTATGATCGATGTTTAATTTATTGTTCTGATTTCTTAGTCGAAAACTTAAAAATAAATCTGTTTAAAGTCGGTTTCATTATTTTTTTCAGAGTTCTAACGTATGCATTGGACCATATGAAAGTAAGTGGTATAACGCGAATCAAAAGCAAAGAAAATGCATCCTGGCTTTAGCGGGCCAACTGAGAATTGTCCACGTTTTCAGGGCTGGACCATTTACGGATTTAACCCTCAACACCTTTATCGCGGTTAGTGTCATAGAAATTATAAAACGATATTGAATAAACTTATGTTGGAGTGTTTGTTACTTTTTCACGCACGATTTTGTTTTTTTTTATGATAGAGGAGAACAGACAAGCATAGGGTTCGGACATACGGAAATCTCATCTGTGGACGGTGGTTCGTGACCCGGACGAAATTATTCCTACCATCCATTTATGAGACTGAATTTCACATTATTATATTATTGATAACACTTACCTGGTCCCTTTTATTAAAAATATATACATATATCCTGAAATGTATAAGGTAATTTTTATCCATACATCCATTGCCAACATAAATCAAACACTTTTAACTAATAATAATATTTCACTATACCCGATGGCTTGAAGAAGTTTTATTACATAAATGCCTGTAAATAAAGTTAATCAGTGAAACAGACACAGATGTGATGGCTCCATGCCCCACAAGGGGAAACGGGAATTAATGATTGTCCCTAAAAACAGCACACCCCAGAGAGGCAGTTCTGTAAAGAAGCAGACAGTTTCTGCTAGTGCCAGCAGTTTGCAAATTTGTCAGAACTTTTCTTTAGTTCCGGAACCGTGGCTGCCGTTTGGTATCCGAAACATTGGGTGGTCAATAAAAAAGAAACGTATAAATAGTTCGTCGTTCTAAAACATTGCTTTGTTTCAGATACTTAAAGGAGCTTATAGTTACTACACATTGTTAAAATAAACTTTGTATTTGAATACAGATATAATAATAGATAATACTTAGATTCTATAATATACTGATTTTAAAAATATTTGTTTTTTTATTCATACATATATTCCTAGACTCCTTGAAATTTTTATGTATTTACAATGATTTTTTTTTTCAATTATACAAATAATAAGCCTCCTTGTGAAAAGATGAAGAAATGTCAAACACGATACCATCACTTAGAACGAACTTAAAGCACTCTGTGCAAAGTTCAATAAACTTAACTCTTGAACAAGGAATGTCAAATGTCAAAAAATTCTAAATATTTTTGGCTCGCACATACATAGGATTCGATTGGACTTATTGTAATAAATAGTATTTTGTGTAATGTATTAATTGTTGTATATGTAATTTTTAATGTATTAGAAGGAAGTAGTGCTATGGAAAACCCGAATTCTCCCGAACGAACGCCACCAATACAATATGTGCGTGGTTCAAGAGCTTTTCGTCAATTTAAAAATCCACCACAACCTCATATGTGTATACAGGATATGATAAAGGATTCAACTGAAAAATTGTTCATTAACGTGCTGGGATGGCAGAAGATAGCCAATCCGAAACAGTATTCTGATCCTATTCCTTTATATGGTGGAATGCAGGTATAGTCAATACAAAATAGATTATCCTTTGTGCTGTTCAATCTTATTAACTATGTTAAAACTGTGTTGTGTATCTGTTATTCCATATCAATACGTTGTCATGATGACTTAGTATAATCTTAAGAAAATCTTGTTATATATAATTTGTATCAGTAAGTTATTAACTTAACATTTTTTAAAATAAGGGCAACTTAATATGTACTGTGAAACATATGCACATTATTTTAAGATGAACTGCTTAGTTACACTTACTTAAGATACTTAGTATGACTTATGTAGTAGAGACTTAGTATTTACAAGACATGTTTAAATTATAATAACTCCAATAGCCCACTTAGTCATAAGCTTTATATGGTTGTGGCATGATACAGTTCTTTACTATAATAAACAATTGCAATACATTACAAAAAAAATGACTTTGAACCAAAATTAGTCTTTGAATACATTTTTCTATTTCTCTATAACATTCATGACATTATAGAGAAATAGAAAAATGTATTAACTAAGACATACTGTTAAAAATATTAAATAATATAAAAAAACGTTTTTTTTTTGTTAAAAAAATAATTGTAGTAATATAATTATTTGTGCAATTTGTATTACTCCATCCTAAGCAAAACAAAATCTTGAATCTTATAGGTGCACCAAGCTTTGGGGCCAAATAGTAGTCGACCGCCATTATTGGTATTCGCAGTCATGGTGAATCCAGAAATTTTAAAGGCCAATGGAAAAAATGCATCTAATCCAACTGTAAGTTTTTAGTATGTATAAAAGATTGATTGCTTTGGAAGACTGAGGGGTTCACTTAGATTTACATATTTCAGTTGATTAATTAAATTATGCGCCATTGGTTACCACAGTCAATTGTGAGTTTATTGACTAACCCAAGAGATGTTCTTTTATGTTAATAGTTCATGGGGACAAAGGTCGTGAACCACTTCTCAATTCCCATGACAGGACAGCTCGAAGAACCAAGTAGCTAGATATGTTTATATTTAGAATATCCATTTCAGGACCGTGATGCTCTTGTCAGTCTTCTGTGTGACTTTGTTGAAGCCATGAATCCAGGTTTAGTGCTGGCGAGGAACCCAATCATTATGAAAGACAGAGACATTGCTGGGGAACTGAAAGATGTTTGGCTAGCTGTACAGAATAAGAGGGAACGCGAAAAGGGGTTGAACCAGGATGTTATGTATAAGGTTTGTCTTAAAAGTTATAGGCTGCTTTTTATGTAGAACTTATGAAAATTTGAGAATTATTGTGTATATGTGTGTTATAGTCTACTTATGATTATAAGTTTATCTGCACTTGTACACAATTCTTCTACCTAAATGTTTATTCTATATATGTTTATTAGGCTTTGATATATATTAAGTACAGTAATTTTAACCTGGTCTATGGCATATATAGTAAAGCTATATACTAAATGGCAGGTTTTGTGGTAGGTTCAAAAACAGAAAGTATTTAAATTTTGCTACTAATATATTTACAACAATAAAAAAATATTAAAAAGATTTTTTTTCTTTTTCTCTAAAATTTTTTCTCTTTCTTGAAATATATTACTTTCTTGACCTTCAACATAACTCTAGAAACACTGACTTAACAAATCTACTTATCAATTACAGGTGTATGACATAGATGGCATAGGCAATGAAGAAGTGAACGAAGAAGAGAAAAATAACCAAGACTACGATGGTACATCACCCAATAGGCAAAATCAAGACAAGAAATTTGTAAAATCATCGAAACAAATACTCATGAATGCAGGACAGAAGTCAGAATTCGATTCCGGCATGAACAATTGTCAATTGACTCAAAATAGCACAAGCAAAGACAACAGATGCGCCAATACAGACTCAGATACCACATACTGTACAAAATACGGACAAATCGTCTCGAGCAGAGAAAACCACAATCAAATTAACGATATCCAACAGAAAATAACATCAAGCGATACTAAGCCATCTAGCTCATTCAGGAAAGACTGGAATTCTGTGCACGGGAAGACCTCACAGAATTGGGACGAATTCTCCAAACGAAGCATCTCAGTCAAAGCGGATGATGCCAAAAAGCCAAAGCACAAAGCGAAGGAGCTAAATGGTAAGGCACATTATGATTTCTTCCCAGTCTTTGACAACAAAATGAATGAGGCAGCTATCCAAGAGACCGGGAGCTTGAAGGAGAGTATTAGCCATGAAGACAATTCTAACATAATTTTAGATCCAATGCAGAAACTAGTTTTGCATTCGACTGATAATCAAATTTGTGATAATAAGAGGGCTCGCTCATTTAGTACATAGAGCTTTTTACAAACGATTTTTATACGGCAGTTGGTACGGATAACGCTTGTATGTTGACGTTTGATATTTAGGTATAGAATATGATGTAATACAGAATTTAATTTCGTTTCACATCATTTTAAGGAGGTATAAAGGGGGGAGGGTTCTAAAATACTTTTGAGTCAGTATGTCCAAGTATCCTTTTGTAATTTTACTAAATTATTACGATCTTCGAAATATTAGGAAAATAGTTATAATGAGCAAAATTATCTTCGAGTGGCGTTTACTAAAGATAATTTAAACGAAGTACATATTTAAATAAAACACTTTTAACGGTTTAAAAATAAATGACCATGACCACGGCTGCTGCAAATATACAAAGATTTTTAGAGAAGTTAATTGATATATTTCGCGTTTTGAACCGTCAAAGGTTTTTATTTCTAAATTATGAGGAGGGAACTTGAATTTTGAATCTTTATAAATATTTGTTCCTCGGTAGAATATTTAATCTCCCTTCCTACTCCAGATTTGATTCTGATCTGCCCCTCAGGTGTTACCATAGGCAAAATAATTTGGACTGTCGAACAAATAATCTATACAATCTCATACAGATCTGTCTGCTACTATTATATAATGGTGATTGTACATATATTGTGTTGGAACTTGATTTGCATGCTTGTACCATAAGGGTTGTGTATAAAATATAATTATCGTGTGTTTGAAGCGACGGCGCGTTGGGCCCACTGTTGCTATTGATAAATTTATACATTGCTATATTTTCATTGTTGCCAATTTAAGATATTAATAATCGTTATTAATACGTCATCGTTACTGAATAAGACGAGACCCACAGTGTTTTCTTGCCTGCTCAATTTTCACTTTGACACAATTTGGCTCTGCTGGGTACTGACCAAATGCGCAATGTGTAGCACGTTTAAATAATTCTGAAAAACCAAAGCCAAAATGGGTCGATAGCGCATCTTGTTTAGATTTTAAATGGCTAGGGTACATTGAACACCAGGCTTGTCTCTACCATAAAAATAAATAATAAAACATTTTTAACGGTTTAAAACGCAAAATATATCATCGAACTTATTTTTATTTTAACTACTTACGGCCCCAAATTTCGGGTTTTTTGCAGTAGTCACAAATTTTTTGAATATGGCTATAGGCTACAGTAATAAGTTCACTATATATTACGCGTTTTAAACCGTTAAAAGTGTTTAATTTTAGTGCGTATTGCTCGCGTAAACTACACATAATTTAGTATGTTATATTACAACGCGACCATTCGGTCAGGACCTACCTTTGAATCTGAAGAAGATCTTTTACTAAAGCCTTATTGATTATTAATTCAGTAGCGATGATAGTGAGATGTTCAAATATTTCTTGCTCATGTGAATTCTAAATTTTTTTGTAGAAAACGCGTATCTGAGTCACGAATTACTAATGTTTATTGTGATATATCCTCCATTATAACTTTAAATTTAAACAAGTAATCAAAAATATACGCACCGACCTATTCTTATATAATTTAATCAATTTAACTTGTAAAGTTAGCTTATTAGTCAAAAACTATCGACATAGTTTTTGGTCGTATTATGAAATTCTGAAAATTCTAATGAAAAAGAACCTAGGGTTTTTTTTTCTCATTTTGTTCTCCAAATTTTTAAATGTACTAACACTACATAAAAATACTTTTGAGATGGTCGATGGGCGGAAACCTTTTAAAAACTTTGGTCACATTTGAATGGTGAAATCATAATTATCGTTATCCTCGTGAACCCCTATATTAGACCCCTATCACTGCCAAAGGATGCTTAAACTTGCATTTATACATCATACTGTATGTCTTTTGTATCTTAAATGTCTAGTATAGATGGCATAGGGTAGATTTAACTACTTTTCCGTATGTTTAGCTAATGAAGTGTAGTTCATCCTTCAGATCGTTTGAAATATCTACATTTTTTGTGCCAAAAAACTTGGTCACCTATCCCTTGGCCAGCATTTTCGACAGCTACATTATAACACCCAATTTTTGTCACCAAATTCCGGTCATTTATAATCCTCATTAATACAGCATGGTTGTGAATATTTTAACTTCATTTCATTAGCTGAATATATTTTCAGTGATCTCTTTTCTTTATTGTGGTCAATATCTTATAATATTATTTTCGTTCAATTTGGTCACCTACCCAAACAAATAAAATGCATCACATAATAGGAGTAGGTGACCAAGTTGTATTTTAGTACTTTCAAATATGTTTTTAAGACTGACTCATTTATTTAAATCATGGAATATTTTTTAACGTGACCAAGTGATTGATTTACTGAACAATTTTAATCTATATTATAACTAAATAGGCATGTATCAACCTATACTAGTTTGTTTTCTATTCATTGCATTTATTCAATGTATATTTTTGACAAATATGTAACTTACGTTTACAATAGGTTTTAATGGTTTTTTATGGATTTATTTTAAGTTTTATAGGCATATTAGCTATTAGCACTGTTCCTTTGAAATGTATAGCGATGGTTTGATAATGTATATCATTATTTTATAGCTTGCTAGTGTAAGAAATGTATTATACCAAATGTTTTCTGCAGTAGTTCGATGGTGCTTTTTCCCTTTGAATAGGAATTTTCATCTCATGAAAAGTTTCAAAAACAACCTACTCAGTGGTCCTACAGTTTTGAGTATACAATCTATACATAACTAGCGCACTCGGCGAACTTTCGCCACTATCACGTATTAGAGATGGCGCTGTATATAAAAAAAAACTTTCTGGCATTATAGCGTCAGGAACGAAAATCCGACTTATTTTTATGTAGTAGATTATTACTAACCTATGAAATAAAAGTAATGTAAAATAGAAAATACAATGTTCAACATTAATTTTATTATTCTCTTTATCCTTAAAAAAATCATTAACCACCTTTAAGATACTAAGTTCAGACTGCGTAAACTTTTGGTATAACACATTTGTATATGCAATATTTTACGCAATAAACTTAATATTTTCATAGTTTAATAGCTTTACCACGCGGTTACTTAGTGTTGTATGTTTACTTTCAAGAATGTGTTTCTTAGGTGCGGAATATAATGAAACGAATAATATTAATATCGGATCTCTTGTTTACAGTATTTAAATTACATGTCATTTACAAGACTGGTTTTTTGTTTTATTGCTCCTTTTACGTTGATGAAAAATAATTTTATAACTTGCCTACGCGCGCCATCTTAGCATATATAGCGTACTCTAAGAATCACAGTTGAATGAAAAAAGTATCTTTAGGGCATTTAAAAAAATCGTACCTTTTTATTTTGTATCTACAAAGTCCTTGCTTTACACACAGTCCCAAACATTTTTTTTTCAGGGGTTAATTAAAAGGGCAAATTTAACGAGAAAACTAAAATATTAAATATATAACTTACTTTAAAGCATGTTTAGAATTACAATTTTTAAAGTTCATATGTGTTGACAATCCAGAACTAAACCCTTTAAAAATACTTAGGAATATTGGACTATGTTATCTTTCGATTTGTAATCTTTAATTTTTTCAGTTAATGTTTTAAATAAATTAACTATTACGTTATTTGTTGTGACCGCACTATTGCCCTAGATCACAACCAAAGAAAGTACTTTTCGTACAAATTCTCGATGTTAAGGTATTTCTGGCTGGTACAAAAATAATTATATCAAATATTTGATATATTTTGATTTTAGGATACAGTCCGTCTTAAAGAGATTGAATTTATATAAAAAGCAGTTTAATTTTAATGATAATTATATTTATTATGACATGTATACCATACTATAATGAATAATGATTACAGACTGATTGGCGCCCATATACACTGACATCTATGTCAATTGTCAAACGTCAAAATACGTTTGACGTTATCAACGTAAGTTACATTATTTGGGTTCGAAGGATTTCAAGTTGATCTCAAGTGAACGAAAAACATCAACAATTTAGGTTAACACTTTAAAAGAGGTTAAGTTTGTTTGGTATAATGTCCTTTAGGAATAATTCCAACAGATATCAAAGGCCCTGGAGGGGTCGGGGATTTTCAAGGGGCTTCAGAGGTTCCCGTAGACCGTATATGCATAATTCTGGTAACAATCGTAGTTATGATAGAACGTCGGTAAAAGCGTTGACTGAGAAAGACATCAGTGTGACTGAATACTTGAGCCAGCATGAAGGATTTAATGGGATCATTAAATCGAGGTATTGCCTTGTGTTGAATTATTATGTATTGTTAACCTAGGTTTATTTACTGAGAAGAAATAAAGTTGAGTATTATCTTGTATAATATTATAAAAATTGTATTTATTCTTGTATGTTATTGTATGACCAAATACTTTACTCTCAATATTTTTAAATTAGAATTTTAGAGTTTAAATTAAGTTTATATGTATGATGACCATCTTTTTGAAGATTATTTGTATTAAAGCTATCCATTCTCTTTTTAAGTACACCTAAAATATATAGCTTGTGTACAAAGACTCATCAGTCGTTTCCGCCATTGTGATCTATCCCCTGCTTCCAGTTTTCGACACCCATGTCTGAGTTTAACTTTAAAAAAACAAATTTATTCTTAGTCACATGTTAGCTGTATATCACAGTATGCATTTAATCCAAGAACCATAGCCATATTGATCATGACTTCCTATTAATTAACCATCAAACCTATCGAAACATGTCCGTTTATATTAAATTATCTATCATAACATCTTACTTATTGAACTTATGAAAAAAGGATAACCTAGCTATTAACAAATACATTGCCAGTTTCAAATTTATCTATAAATAAATTTAAAAAAAAGTTATAAAATTTAGATTGTCTCAAAAGGCGTATTATTGTCTAAACAATTTCTTTCATTAATTGTGTAGGCTTTCACGGCCATCGTTCAGCATATCATTGTCTTTCGGGCTAATTAATTAATTTTTTATTAATTCTTCGAGCAATCAAGGAGTCAACATCTCCTGATGATGCCGTCCACACGTGATGGCGAAACGGCGAGAACCTCTTCTCGCTCACATCGGCCGAAGAGCCTGAAAGACAATGATATGCTGATTTCTTTCATGACAAGACCGTCTGGCAGTAATATGAATTGCTCCTTAGGTTAATAAATTCACAATGTATAGTTTATAAGACATGTACAAAAAAAGCTGGACTGAGTTTCTTGGGTGTTCTTCTCAGTTATGTTGCAGACTCTGTAGAATCACAACGAACAGACACACAAACAAAGCAATTTTGACAAATCTAAATAATTTTTAATATTTTAAAGAGAATAAAGTATATTTTATTTTATTTTTATTAGATTTTCAGACTTCCAAGTGTCGGAAATAAATCAGAATGGTGAGATTGCTAAGCTGACAGATTTGGCACCTCCAAAGGCTCCTGAAGATGAAGAACCAATGGATGATGAGGATCTATTACTGAATAAGTATAACTTGGAGATCCTTCCAATGGAGACATGGGACAGAATAAATAAAATGACTCTGTGTAGTGGTACATCCTTGGAGGATATTGTAGAAGTGAGTTACAATAATAAATGTTGTATTGTTATTGGGCCCCATCATAATTTTCCATAAATTGGCTTTATCTATCATGCTAGTATCACATATGCAATGGCATATGCCAAATCTAACGAATAGGTAAGGTTGGAAACTTAAAAATGTATGGTATTGCTTAGCTTGCTACTGAAATACCTTTTGCCCTGCCGTTTTGGATGCTTTTTCTGCAGGAAAGGATTTATTGTACTAACATCATTTAGTGTTTTTTTATTAGTTTGGAGTTAAAACTGTTAAGAGTGCTTTATTTCATTTAATGGCGTAAACCACAATCACTATTAAGAACTTCGTCACTATGTCAAACAAAGATTTCTCTATAACTTCGCGCATTCCAATTTGATGGGCAGGGCGCTCGTCACGCAAACAATACGTAGTTAATATTGTACACCAAAAGGTTGACATTTTCACGGGGTATTGGAGTGAAATAGCAAATATTGTTCTTAACGAAATTACTACTAGAACTAATGAAAATAGTTATTAAAACTTAGTTTTCATATGTATTTTTTATATATATTGTGTATTACTGTCGAATTGGATTATATCTGTAATGGCAGCATATATTTGTGTAAATAAATAAATAAACTTCAGATCGATGTAACTGGTAAGTCTAAAGAAGAACGTACAACGATTCATGATGCGGTCAAGAAAGCATTTGGAGATAGCATAGTTGGTAAAACTGTTACGAGAGATGAAAAGAAATATTGTACTTTTGAAAAGTATAGGAAAGGAGGTTAGTTTTAACATTTTCATCCACTGTATTGTGTACAATGACTGCTGCCATGGCTCAATGGTTGAACAACATCCGTTGTGTTTACAACGAGATGTCCAGTGTTCGAATCCCTGGGAAGCAAAATTTTTATTCAGGACTAGCACAGAAGTCTGAATTGCGAAAAGCCTCTAGTTTCAGTCTTAGAACAAGTTTTTTTTCCAAATATTACAAGAATCTCTCAAGAGCATTGTAATTGCGACTGCCTCTGTAGCTCCATGGTTAAACATGTTCCCTAGTGTTGTGTTAAGCTCAAGATTAGTTAGGCTAAGGTCCTGGGGCTTAAAATATCCTCTTCCTTAGTATAAAAAATTATAATAACATCAAAATTAATTTCTCTTTTCAGCTCGAATAGATAACAGAATCAAGTGGGTTTGGCCAGAAGAGTATCTACATTTTATTCTTTATAAGGAAAATTGTGACACAATGGAGGCTGCATCTCGAATTATTAAGAGGCTAAGAATGAAGTTAGTATAACTTTCATCCGATATAAAAGTATATTAGGAGTGGTTAAAAGTTGAAGAAATTCATCGATCAAGTGTAGAACATGGTCAATTGTTAGAGCAACAGCACAGAACGCTGTGGATGTGGTGTCATAAACTTATTTCAATCTAAAATCGATTTTCAAATTATTATATAACACTTGAATACTGTACTACCCTAGTACCCTAGTACATATTTGATTGAATAAAATACTTTTGAAATTTCAGTGCGAGCATAAAGACAGCCGTAATAGGCTACGCGGGCACGAAGGATCGCCGTGCTAAGACCTCACAGTGGTTCAGTCTTCGAAAAGTGGATCCTCGCAAGTTGATCAGCGCTTGCACATCTCTGCCAGACATAAGTGTCGGAAATTTTACATTCAGTGCTACGCATCTTAAATTGGGCATGCTTAAAGGAAACAGGTAGGTTGGATTGATTCTTGATTATATAATTACTAGTTGACCTATCAGCAAAGCATATATACATATATGTATATATTGCGTTCCAGATTCCGTATCTGCCTGCGTAACGTGACTGCTTCAGATAAAACTATAGACAACTGCTGCTCCCTGCTGCGAGACAACGGATTCATTAATTATTATGGGCTGCAAAGGTTCGGGTCGAGAATCAGTGTGCCCACATCCCAGATTGGTCTATATCTGCTGAAGAGTAACTTTGAGGAAGTGAGTAGACCAGAAAGTAAAATAACATAGACATAATTTTTGTATAAAACTTGGCCAGTAGAATGGCAGGAGGTGTTTAGGAGTTGGTCTTTTGCTCACTCTCAATTTCCTTTGTTGTTTGGAGGGAAGAACGGTTCTACCTAAATAGATTACAACAGTTATTACAGTTTCTCTCGTCTCACAAAACCAATTTATTTATTTTTAAATACTTTCCAGGCTATCAAATGCATATTGGAGCCCCGTCCGGGGCCCCTGTACGACGCCCTTATAGAGTTTAGGAATCGCGGGCCGTACGCGGCGAAAGCGATGTTGCCGCATCGCGCTGACCACTGTTCCGCGGAAATGAGACTTTTGACCGCGCTCGCGAGTCAGTCGAGGGATCTTGCGCAGGCGCTGGATAAGGTAGTTTAGTAACTGTAGTATTCAATTAATACACCTATGCATCGCCAAATAAAGCTGAAGAGTTTGTTTGAACGCGCTAATCACAGGAACTACTTGTTTGAATTGAGAAATTATTTTTATACTTAGATCATTTATCGTGGAAGGCTTTAAGCTATATAATATCACGCTGCGACTAAGGAGCGAAGGAATAATGGGAAATGTGGAAAAGAAGGTTTCTGTTGCGTGAGCTGCGAAAACGGTTCAAGATACCCAAAAAATATGTGTGAAAGAATAATTCCTCTTGAAACAATCTATAAAACATCTCCAGGATAGTATAGTAGTAGATAGATCTTTTAAGATTATCTTGAAAAACGACGGGACGCGGGCGACGTCGTGTGTAACAGATAAAACCTATAAAGACAAGGAGATTTGCAAAACCAAATTTTGGTAACCAAAATAATTATTCTACGCGGGCGAAGGCGCGGTCAAATCTAGTAAATGATAATATTCTTTGTATAATGGTTTTCAGGTGCCTCGTAATACACGGCTGCTTTATCTGCATTCGTACCAGTCTCTTATTTGGAACAAGGTTGTCTCAATGCGCCTGCGCAGTTTGTCACATGCGCCGGCCGTTGGTGATCTAGTGCCAGTAGACGATATAGAGGAAGGTAATAATATACAAAATATACTAATATGATCTAAATTATGACACTTTATATAGACGGTTTACTTTACTCTCTAAAAAAAAAGCAACAACTTGTCGTCAACCTTTTTCAATCCCGATATTTTTTTTATAGAAACGGTTGAATTAGAAGAAAATCTCATCGAAGACGATAGCGAAGTGAAACCACCCGAGATAAACACACCGAAAAGCATACCACAAGTAAAAACTCTGACCCAAGAGGACATAGATAGCGGCAAATATACCATTTTCGATATAGTGTTGCCACTTCCCGGCCACAGCGTAGTCTACCCGCCCAACATGAAGGAGCACTACCAAGAGTTACTTACGAAGGATGGACTTTCATTGGACCTGAAGCATAAAAACAAGTAAGTCCTAAATACTGTCTGTAGTTTACACGAGTAGTATACATCATTTAAATAAAACACTAACGGTTTAAAACGCGATATATATCACTTAAACGGCTTTGAAAAGATATGGCAATCAAATAATTAGTCTGGTTATTACAGGTTGCTGTATTTCACCTTTTATCGAGTGAATGCCATGCTTGTCTACCCTAGTATATCTATAAAAAATATTCTTCTTAAGCACTTCGTAGCTTTAATACTCTACAGCAATGGGCACGACCATGTTTTTAATCAATTCATGATTTTTCATAGATATGCAAGCACGGCGTTCACTTGATGGTAGGTGATACCCCAGCCATATAACACCCGAAAAAGATGTGCTGACGGCCCGTTTTGGCCTTGGATACTCGGATATCCATAGACTGAAACCGAAACGCGATTAAACTTGTGTGTTCTTCCAGGTCGTACAGTCTGTGCGGGGGCTATCGCCACATCGCTGTGAAGCCAGACAAAATGTCATGGCGCACAGTACAATATACAGAACCACACACGGACTTAATACTATCCGATTTAGATCTAATCAATGGTGTTACGTCGACTGGAGAAGTTGAAGGTACCTGTTTGAAGTTATATACTGGATAGTGGTAGTAGATCATAGCGATTAATGATGCCTTATACAGAGTGTAGTCATTGCCACAGATAATTGAAAATCACTGTAATGACGACTTATTCTTGAATGTTTTTGTATCAATATTAATAAACTCGACGTTTGTAACGCTTTTCAGCGATAGCGCACGATTGGGAATTCTACTTTCTATTGTCGTTGACTTTGCTTACACCCTTATGTGATGACCAACTAAAGAAATTTTAATCTGTGGATTCACCTAAATTTACTTGTAGGGTTTTTATTAATTTTAAGCGTGTATTTAAGGTACTTCATTAGTTGAATATATAATACAGTGTCAGAAAGTGTGTAGCGTAAATAAATGCAAACCTTTAAGTAAATTGTGTATTTGTTTACCAAAAATGCCAAGTAAGAAAAAATACAGTAGATGTTATTTGGCTATTTCACCTTCCATATAGTGAGTCTCCTTTTCTATCATTGAAATAACCTCAAAATGTGTTTTTTCCATTTCAGGAGGCAAATACAAGGCACTATTATTGGATATAACGTTACCGACCAGCTGCTATGCAACAATGGCTCTCCGAGAACTCATGCGAGTGGACACCTCAACAGAAACGCAAGCGAAACAGAATGACTACTATAAAGAAGACGGCGATGTTAAAAATGAAGCGAACGCCACTGACGCAAATGTCACTGATACAAGTGACGCGAATGCTAATATAAGTGACGCAAATATCGTTGATAATGCTGCAGAGAAGAGGAAAGGCGAGGATACTGATTCGCCTGATACGAAAAAAGCGAAAGTGTGCTAGGTTGATCTAATTAATGCTGGATAAAATAGTATTCGTGTTAATAATGTTTTTAACATAAAATGGTTATAATAAATTTCATCGAATAAATTTTTAACTGTGACTTTGTTTGTCCAATCTTTAATTATGCGTATTGTTTTTAAGGGTTTAAAAATAAAATGTTGACTATTTCTTATAAAAGATAGTAAAACAAAAATTGACAGATAGTTATTAATTTATAAGTAGCGGCACGGATGTTTAGCGCCAAACGAATCCTGCGCAGAAGTCAAAAATAAGGTATCGAAGGGACGGAAGCGGGCGCGGGGAGTGTGAACGTCATGTGCGCTAGCGTTGATTGGTTCCCCAGTCGTGTTGTCTTTCTCGGACCAATACGACGCTCCGCTTGCTTCTCGAATACAGTCACGTTTTCCAATCACTTGCGCGATTGTAAAGATGCGCAACTATCCCCTCTACACTTCGTTCAGCGCTAAACATCCGTGCCGCGACCTATACACTACTTTATTATGGACAATTTAAGCTATATTTATAATAGATTTTTCGAAACAACGTAAATACATATACAAAGACTTGAAGATACACCAGACACAACCAAAGCCGAACCGGTCTTATGTGAAAATAAATACAAATCAATTTAATTTAAAATACATCTATAAACTTCTTCAATTATATTGAAAGCTATGTAGGCTCTTAAGTGAAGAAAGTACAGGCCATAGATCAGCGTGGATCTGTTTGTCGACTGGTCGGCCGATTTGTCGACCGCCGTGACTTAAGAGGTGAGCCCGTAATTCTCCGGGCGTTGGAAAGGAGCGGGGACACCAGGCGCACTTGTGTGGCTTATTCTGGAATAGAACACGATGAGATTCAAACTTTTTTTAATAATAGATGTAGACAGACAAGACAGAAGACTAAATACCCCAGCCTAGAGCATCTAAACAAGATGCACTGTCGATCTATTTTGGCTTTGGATATTCGGGCCCGTCTAATGGTAGTAATCAACGGGTCATGGGTTCGAACCCCATGGATCCAGCATATTTCTAATTTTAATCTGAATATTAAATGGTGGTATATCGAAATTCTGTCACAAACCGCCATCCACAGACGAAAAAGCCGTGAAGTTTAATCGCGTGTCGGTTTCTTTCAAAATAGGTCGACAACAAATCTTGTTTAAATGTTATATGGCTTGTGTCTCATCTAGAGAACCCCATGCTTGTTTGTAGTCCTCTATATTAAAAACAAAATGGCCGCTAAAACATTTCTCCCTATGGAGCATGAACTAATACATTTTATCATGGTTTTACAGATCGCCTGTATATAGATGTGTATTAGACTTCAGTGCTCTGGCCGATCGAATTTTCGACTTTTCGAACCCAGTATCTCTTAAAAGAAACTCATTGAGGAGGTTGTTGTAATTTATAAATTGAAGAATTACCTTAGTATGTGTCATTCTATGATAGTACAGATTTGAGCTTGCCGTGAAACATTTACCACATTCCGGACATTTGTGTGGCTTTTCACCTGGAAATTAGAATGCACTAGTTAATTTTTCATTTTAATATTAGGCCGCTAGAGGCAGTGTAGCCTAACTGCAATTCTAGGAATTGAGTTATTTATATAGTACCCTACTTATAAAATGTTAATCTACAAGAGCACAGTGACCGAAAATTGTTAACATAGTTCTTACTCAGATAATAGTACATATTTTTGCTTAAGTTAATTGCGCGTTTTTATTTTCGTCGTTATTAAACATCATGTTTTTTGTTATTCGGCCAGTCTGCCTATAGCTATATTTACCTGACTAGTTAGTACAGTCGTTTGCAAAATTTCTTGGAAAGCAGAAGTTTTCCGATTACCATTTATAATTAAATGGATATAAGTAAAAACCAACCCATACTAGAACAGCGCAGACGATCTGATCTCTTAGACCATTTTTTTTCTAGACGAGAAGAGAGATAGAGAGACCTATGTCCAGAAGAGAACGTAATGAGAAAAAAACTAACAAATACATTATTTTAAATATTGTACTAAACTTAGTAGTACTTCTTAAAATAAAACACTTTGTTTCTAACACTGCGGCTGTAAAGACAACCACATCAAGTTTTACAAAGGAGTACCTTCTATGACTTCAACGGTTTAAAACGCGAAGTATGTTAGTTAAGTTTTGCGTATGCACGTGCCCACGGCTGCAAAGCATTCGAAACGATGGGCCGTAGTAAAAACAATTTCTAAATAAGTTTAGCTAATATATTTCGCGTCTTATACCGGTAAAGTGTTTTTGTTTGAATGTTTACGTCTATTTCTGTTGGAAAAATAATAAATAATGCTTGTAGGTTTATTTTTATTTTAAATCTAGCAATGTCAGCGACTTCGTCCGCGTAGAATAGTTATTTGGCATCAAATTTTTTTTTCAAACTTCATCCGTAAAAATTATAGCCGTTAGTCACGACGTCGGTCACGTCCCGTCATTCTTGCAAGTAAATCTTAAAGGATAGACATATGGTGTGTCGTTATTTTTTTATATCATTTAAAGAGGAATCATTTAATCGTACATATTTTTTGGCTATCTTAAAACAATGTTCACAGCATACGCAGCATTTTTCCACATTTCCCGCTGTGTCTTCGCTCCTATTAGTTAAAGCGATATGTTTTATATATAGCTATAGCCTGCGTCAATAAATGTTCTAACCAACTAAAAACAAATTTTGCAATTAGTTCCTGATATTAGTGCGTTCAAACAAAACAGCTTTATATATTAGTATAAATAAAGTACACACCGGTGTGGATCCTACGATGTGTGTTTAGAGAACTGGATGTGCTGAAGCCTTTACCGCAAATGTTGCAAACGTGAGGCTTCTCACCTGTAACATGGTGGACAAAACAATAAAAAAAATATATAATTTTTAATGACTAAAAAGGACGGTCAATGACTCGCTAAACTCAAACCTAACTCAAACTCAAATCATCTATTTTACAAGACTTAAATAACTTAAATATTAGCTTAACTACATTAAGAAAAAGAGGAAGAAAAAAGAAACTTGGAAGAGTGCTTGTGAAAAGGGGAAAAGCACTCGGCATGTGCTTCACCACCCAGAAACGCAACAACTACTTTTTAGTCAACTAAACTAAACTATACAAGTAAATAAATGTCTATTAGGAAATATCAAACCTACGCTAATAAAAAATTCGCCAATATTACATACAACGCTAAAACAGAGTACTGTCTGTAGTAAACGCGAGTAGAACACATTTTTACAACGGTTTAAAACGCGATATGTGTTAGTTAAACAGCTTATTGTCAAGTTATTACAGAGAAACGATGAGCCATAGTTGAAATATTTTGGAAATAAGTTTAACTAATATATTCGCAATGTGTTTTATTTATCTTCTAAAAACGGTTTTAATCGCAAAATAGATTATTTTCACCCGACGGCTGATTTTTAGCAGTTGTGTGTTTTTTAGCATTTAGATTTTGTTAGCTCTTTCAAATTACTAGTCATAATCTATAATATAAATAAATCGGAAGAGTTTGTTGGTTTGTTTGAACGCGCTCATCCCAGGAACTACTGGTTCGAATTAAAAAATATTTTTGTGTTGGTTAGAGCATTTATTGAGGAAGGCTATATCATGATGTGACAAATGGGAGCTATAGGCTACAATTCTAAAGATAAAGGAAAAAGAAAACAGATAAAATCGTTTTTTTAAGTACCTACTTAGTTAAAAATAATTCTCAAACAAGTTTAACTAAAATACGGCGTTTGAAACCGTTAAAGTGTTTTATTTAAATGTTCACTACCCACGTAAACTACAGACAGTCTAAAATCTTCCTTGATAATTGTTCTGACCGACCCAAAAATAATCTTTCAATTCGAACCAGTAGTTCCTGATATATATATTGTTAGTATAGATAATTAAGTACCTGTATGTGTTCTCATGTGTCGTTTCAACAGCGACGGGCGATCAAAACTCTTGAAGCAAACCTCACAAGGGAGAATACTTTTGGATTTACAACCCGGGACCTTTTCCACCATATTCGTTTTCTCGTACAGTCTAAGTAAATGCCGGTTGAGACCGGATAGGATCTTAAAATCAATTGCTCTTGATTTCTTCGTAGACAGATCGAGTGGTTCCGTTTGGCTCATGTTTATTAGCATGTATACAGCATTTGATCAAATAAGCAAGGTCTTCACAGATCTTTTATGATATTATTAATATTATAATTATTTATATACTTGTACTTAAAAACACTCATGAAGCATAGATTAGTAATTTCATATTATATAGATAACAATGTTTGAGAAAACCTAAAAGCTTTTGTATTATGTTTTATTTCACTGTTTATTTTAACTTTTAGCACGTTACGTTATAAGTTTCTCTAACGGCTTTTCCGAGATTACTGCGTTAATTTTTCCACAAATAAACCCTTAAATAGGCCGGGGTTCTGCCGATGAGTAGTAGGCTTTGTGGTGACAACAATAACGTTTATACACCACGGACACTAATCGGCGTGATTTGACTATTTTCCCCAATAACACGGAGTTACGAATTTATCATTAATGGGGGCACAATAACCAATATGTATTTTCTAAAAGCACATGTTTTATTAAGCGAATTTTCGAAATTTTTGAAGAGCAATGAAACATCGAATATCGCCTGATTGAAGTAAAGTTAAATTCCCTAATTTAAGCTGTAAAAGTAAAACCAGTATTTCCCTACGTGGGGCCTGGGTTTATTCACAAGCGAGTATGTTTATAATATAACCTGGGATTCAATGACATGAATTTAAGTATTTAGCAATGGAGAAAGAAATTTGATCTGTACGCATATTATATGTATAACGAAACAATTTTACATTTCCTATTAATTTTGTATTGTAACTTTTCGCAACTTCAACCAGTGGGAACAGGCCGAAAAACAGCGGTGTGATTTCTTTTCGTGCAGCATTCACTTGGGGCTGAATTCCGAGCTGCCACATTTTTTTATGATAGCGGAGGATAGACATGGCATGGCATGGTCGACAGCGCACCTAAGCAAGATGCGCTGTCGACCTATTTAGGCTTTAGATATTCGGACATCCAGACTGAAACCGAAACGCGATTCGGTTTTTTCATCTGTGGATGTTGGTGCGTGACACGGACGGAATTTCTATATTCGCGTCACCCATTTAGTATCCAAATTTCCAGACGAAGACCACTGTGCTTGTAAAAATTTTAAACACCCGTCGCTAATGCTTTTATTTCGAATTTTGTGGCAGTAAAATATTTTGCTCTCTTTCTTTCTTTCGTAATTTCAAATACCACATCCATTGCATATAGCTGGATGTATTGTATTGAAGAAAACGTAATCGGTTATAGAGGTGACGAAGCAAACAATTTGAATTGGAGCTTTGTACCGCGACGAAAAGATCGCTGTTTGTTCGCGGGACATTATTCTGATCATATTTTATAGTGACCACACTTTTAATATAATCGTATCGTTTGTAGTTTACGCGAGAACTATACAATTGAGACTGCCTAGCGAAGATTCGATTTCTAAATAAAACATTTTTACCGGTTGAAAAGACGAAATATTAGTTAACTTATTTTAAATTTAACTTAACTTAGAACTAAAAATTTTAAATGATTTGCAGCAGCCGTAAACGTTGGCTTCTAGTTGAAATAAATTAGAAATAATTTACTTCATATATTTTGAGTTTTAAACCGTTAATTGTAGATACTCCGATCAACTACTTGTCTTTAAAACATTGAATTATTTATTTATTAAAAACCAATCACACTAGTAATTCCAACATAAGAGTGTCATACTAAATACTTTTTTTACATATCATTGTTTAAATACTGTCTATAGTTAACGCGAGTAGTACAGATTTAAATAAAACACTAACGTCTCCCCATGAACACGGCTGCTGCAAAGCATCCGAAACGTCGGGGAGAAGACGTCAATTCTTAGACAATTTATTTCTTTACCTATCTTATAGATCGTATCTCATATCATACATTATTGTGTTTAATGAGTTTTCCCAAAAGCGTGGTCACAGTAGCACCTGTATTGGTTTCCTTACACAATAAAGACGAATTTCCGATTACCCAAACCTCGTGGTCTATTCAGTATTGTCAACCATTTTGCTGTAAACATTTTGACGGATTGAGGGTAGAAATATTAACAACTTACGAAGTAATTTCGTCGAGAATTAGGTATTTATAAAGATATAGAATGGCTACTTAAACAATAATTAATAAAAAATTGAAATAATTCGGTAATTCAATCGGTAGAGCAACACACACCTGTCCGTTCAAGTCTGCCCAAATTTCAATTAATTTTAGATTTATTAAAATCGAATTTAGTCAAAAGAATAATTAGTTTAATATAAAGTATTGAATTGGTTAGAGCAGCACGGATCGCCGTTGGATAGCAGTTCAAGTCCCGCCCGTGTCAATACAAACATTAATTTTTAATTTATATATTGTCATCATGGGAAAATGTTCAAAGTTTTTAATATATCATATAAATTAAAAAATCATTGAATCACATAATTTTCGGGGAGTAACAAGGAACAAATTTACTAAATGAATTTCGCGTTTAAAACCGTTACAGTGGTGTATTTAAATTTTACGTTATCTTTTTTTGCCGGCCGTTGGTGTATAGTTTGATTATATATTGTGTAACAATAACGGATCAACGGGTCGTGGGTTTGTTCCCCACCGGGTCCAATAATATGTTTCTAATAAATTATTAAATTCTGGAACATGTTAGACTTTGTCTGGATATTAAATGTAAGGTAGGAATATCAAATTCCGTCCGGGTTACGAACCACCGTCCTCAGATGAAGAGGACGTGTTATCGCGTTTCGGTGTCAGTTTTATGCTTTCAAGGGCAAAAATTGGTTGATTAGGATTTATAGGGTTAGGAGCATTTCTACTACCATTAAGTGAGCCCTTTCCTACTCTATCATAAGAAATACTCTGTAATACACGTCGGCGACGTGTTCTAATGTCGGCGAATACGGGTTCTAATTAAAACATTTGTGTTGGTTAGAGCTTTGATCGTAGAAGGCTATAGGCTCTAAAACATCGCCCTGTGACTAATACAAAATGATCAATTATCTAAAAAAAGGCCGCGATGCTATATGACTATCTTGTAAGATTAACCTGCAAGAACGACGGGAAGGGACGCGACCGACGTCGTGGGTAAAAACGAATTTGGATGCCCAAAGTAACGATTTTCGCGGACAAAGTCGCTGACAAAGCTGGTTAAAAATAAAATAGACGATCATTGTATAGTAAATTTCCAACTACCCTCAAAATAGTAATATCTGTAGTGTTTTGCCCTAAAGAGAAAATGTAAACATTTTAAAACTATTTCAAACCGTTGAAGGAACGTTGGTTTTTGAATTTGATTACTTTACAGTGCATACACATTTTCGTATCAATATACACATAAAATTTACAATGCTATTAAACGGTGCCCATTTGACACTTACCATTCCACAAACATGGATTTTAGTTTATATAATGTTACACTTAAATGGTTTAAAATACGATATATATTAGACTCCCCGTGATCACGGCTGCTTCAAAGCATCCGAAACGTCGGGCCGTAGTTAAAATGATTTTTAAATTAGTTTAACTAATATATTAGCGTTTGGAACCGTCAAAGTGTTTTATTTAAATGTGTATTACTCGCGTTAGCTACAGACAGTTTTTAATATTGGTATAGATTTTCGCAATCTGCACATAGACTCATGCCTGGCCTCTCCTTTTTCTATATCCACGCTAGTTGTACCAACATTTTCTTTTAGGAATTATCATAACTTAGCTATGCACATAATTTAAGCACTCAATCGTGCAAAGTAGAATCCGAAGGTGCATGAAGGTATTTTATTTAAATTCGGTCTTATTCCAAATTCAAATGCTGGCAAATCCGATTTACTCGCCCGTTGTTAAGGCAGCCTTGTTTAACTTTGCATTTTCTTTATTTATTTTTCCGCGCGGAAATAAAAGTTTCGCGGGGCATTTTAAATTATGCATCGCTTTTAAAAGTCGCTCCGACTTCGTTACGGAAAGCACTTTGTAGACTTAAGTATGGGAGAAAAGTTTTTTTTAAAGTTAGCTATTTGTAACTAAAAAAAAAAAACTGAATTGATCTTCGATTAATATCGTGATAACAACAAATTATTTTATAAATATGAATAAAGTAACGAAGGATTTTTTCATACATCTCGACTATATTAAACTTCAGTAGTTATAACGCGAAAGTTACTTAAGATAGAATATCCATGTATTGCTATCTATTACAATTAACTGTTTAAAGTTTAACTTTTGACCTAACATTTCACCGGAGCAAAAGTTTATGAAACAAAACAGCAATATTTTTTATATAGAGGATTGGTAAGCATCAACTGATTAGAGGCGCTGTCGGCAATTTTTGGCTTTGGATAAAAGCGAAGCGCGATTAAACTTTAAAAACATGTTCGACTCGTTGGGAATCGAATCCACGACCCGTTGATTAATAGCCATAGATTGCTACCATTATATTAACGAGCCCTAATTAAAAAATGGAAATCGTATTAAGTAAATATCTGTTACAACTGAAAAAAATTACTACACAGACGGGACTTGAACCGACATCCAAAGCGTTCCGTGCTGCTTCTGACAATTGACACGTTGTTCTGTTGATTAGAACAACATTGGAGTCCGGTTCAAGCCCAGCCTGTGTGAAACATTTTTTCAATTTACATAAAATTCTAATTTAAAAAAATATAAAATTTTTCTAATGTAAATTACCTACATATAATACTTAGGTATATAAAGTATATGTACATATACTTATTACAATTTAAAATCGGTTTGACTTATGTTTTCGCCTTCTATAATCCAGAATTTTAATGTCGGGTCGTGGGTTCGATCCCCGTCAGGTCCAACATGTTTGTAATTTTTCTGAAACATGCTGGAAATCTAGATATCAAATGGGTGGTAGTAAAATAGGAATTCCGTCAGGGTCACTAACCCCCAATCCACAAATGAAAAAGCCGTCAAGCTAAATCGCGTTTCAGTTTCAGTCTGTGGATTTCCGAATATCCAAAGCCAAAATAGGTCGACAGCACATCTAGTTTAGATGCTATAGGCTGGGCTGATCACCATAT